TTTCAAGAATCACCACCTCCACGCCGTTACCAACTTGCCCTTTCTTCTCTTAAATCCAACACTAACATTGTCATACTATCTTATGGACAAGGTAATTCGGTAGTTATCCTTGATCGCGAGGATTACCTTCCGTAAAGCTGATGTCTTGCTCAATGATCACGCACCTACACTCCTCTCGTTTCCACCCTCTTGATCGCATCAAGAGAACTTTCAACAAAAAACTAAGGACTCTCTCCGACCTCTGTCCTCCTGACTTTGACCTTGTTCAACGGTTTCGTGTCATCTGTCCCTCTCTTCCCTATTTCTATGGCCTTCCAAAACCATAAACCGATATTCCTCTTCATCCTATCATATCCTCTAGAGGTTCTGTCTCTTATTCCTTGCTTCTTGGCTGGCCAAAAACCCTCACTCCCTTTCTTGGTATTTTTTCCCCTGCCCACCTCAGTCACTCCAAGACTTCATTGAACGGGTTCGCTCTCTCCCAACCTGTAAGATGCTTAGTCTTGACGTTGAGTCCCTTTTCCACCAATGTCCCTCTTGATGATGTCCTTGATTTCCTTAGAGAGAAGGCCCATGAAGAGTTTCTTCATCTCCCTATCCCCATGATGTCTTTCTTGATCTGATCCGCCTCCGTGGGACTCTAACTCCTTTTCCTTCCAAGGGAAATATTTTTCTCAAACCTTCGGTGTCGCTATGGGCTCTCCTTTTCCTCCTGTCCTTGCTAATCTTTACATGAATACTTCGAGACTGTTCTTCTTCCTACCCTCGATGTGCAACCTTCACTCTGGCTCCGCTATGTGGATGACATCTTTGCTCTGTGGCCTCATGACTCCAGTCTCTTCCAACCTTTTCTTGAAGCTCTTAATAATCTTGCCCCTTCCATTAAGTTTAAAGCTGAATGGGAATCTAATTCCTTATTTCCCTTTTCCCTGATGCCCATGTCCCACCGCTCAGATACAGGTTTTTCCTTTTCCGTTTACCGTAAACCTATGCACAGTGGCATGTACATTCACTACTTTTCCTATCATGCTTCCCCTGTCAAAAAAAGTGTTCTTATCTCCCTCTTTTCCCCGTGCCCTCCGCATCTGTGATCCTCAGTTCCTTCCAGCAGAAATTTCCACTCTTCATAATTCGCTTTTCCCATTTGGCTCCCTTCCCATTTCATAGACTCTGCCCTCTCACGTGCTAAACGCAATTTCTTCTCTCCCAACTCTCTACTCATGGGAACTCTTCTACCCTCTGCCTTCCCTACTTTTTCGGTCTTTCTAATCTCAACAATTCTCTCCGTCCCTTAGACATTAAGTTTACCTTCCGCCAGACTAACATCTTCGCACTAATCTCGTTCATACCTCTCCCCCCTCTACAGATGTTCCTGGTGTCTACTCTATTTCTTGCTCCTCCTGTCCTCTTCAATACTTCGGAGAAACTGGTCGATCTCTTCTGACAGACTTAGGGAGCAAAAAAATAGTGTTAGGCTTGCCGACACTAACAATGCTTTTTTTCTGTCACGTCAGAGATCATACCCAAATCCTTTTGGGACTGGTCTTCTGCTAAAAAACTGTCTTCCCTATTTCCCAACTCGAACAGTCCCGTCTAGTTGAATCCTCTCTAATACAAAAACTTTCCTTGTATGAACCTTAGCCCTGGCTTCGTCTCTGTAGATGCCTTCCTCTCCCACTACATTGTAAAATGCTCCAAACTTCAGAACACCCCATGACTTAACCTGAATCCTCACTTTTCTTTTTCTTTTTCTTCTTCCTCTTCCCCTTTCCTCTCCTTTTCTCCTCTGGGTTTTTCTTTCTCTCTCCTGTCTCGTGTTTCGTTCCTTCTTCATTTATTTTATTTCACCACTCCCCCTTCATGCACCTCTGTGCGCTTGCTCTCCCTCTGTGGGTATCTAGCTCTCTTGCAGTGCTCCCCTTCCTTTGTATTTGACTGGCTCGTCTTCCTTATTCCCCACTTCTTCTGCTACCACTACTACTACCTCTTCTTCTTCTACTACAACTACTGTTGAAATTAAGACACATGTGCGGCGTCTGGCTGTCTTTGTTGTGGACGTTTCGCCATCCAGTGGCTGGCTGGATGGTGAAACGTCTACGATGGGGATGCCCGGGTGTTGTGCATGTGTCATTTCATCCTGTCGGTATTATATACAATTCTTGTACTACTACTACTACTACTACTACCACCTCTTCCTGCCTATATATAGCCGTCCTGCTCCACCTCTGTTAGTGTGACTTTGTCAATGGTCCAAGTCGGACCAAAACGTCGTCGTAAGCTTCTCTCTTTTATGTGCGGGTTATTTGTGTATTGTTCCAGTCACGGTATTGTGCCTTTTTGTTATTTATGTGTGGTGTAAATATTATGCAGAAAATTCAATGTGTGGAAATTAGGAGAAGGTGTGGAGTTAATAAAAGTATTAGTCAAGAGGGCTGAAGAGGGGTTGTTGAGGTGGTTTGGTCATCCAAGTGGAAGGACATGGGGAGCATATAAATCTGTAGGGGAAGGAAGGCGGGGTAGGGGTCGTCCTCGAAATGTTGGAGGGAGAGGGTAAAGGAGGTTTTTTGAGTGAGGGGATTGGACTTCCAGCAAGCGTGCGTGAGCATGTTTGATAGGAGTGAATGGAGATGAATGGTATTTGGGACCTGACAAGCTGCTGGAGTGTGAGCAGGGTAATATTTAGTGAAGGGATTCATGGAAACTGGTTATTTTTATATAGCCAGACTTGAGTCCTGGAAATGGGAAGTACAATGCCTGCACTTTAAAGGAGGGGTTTGGGATATTGGCAGTTTGGAGGGATATGTTGTGTATCTTTATACGTATATGCTTCTAAACTGTTGTATTCTGAGCACCTCTGCAAAAACAGTGATTATGTATGAGTGAGGTGAAAGTGTTGAATGATGAAAATATTTTCTTTTGGGGGATTTGCTTTCTTTTTGGGTCACCCTGCCTCGGTGGGAGACGGCTGCCTTGTTAAAAAAAAGTGAGTACGTGTGAGAGACAGAGATAGAGATATAGACAGATATATAGACAGAGGCAACTAAAATGCTGGGAGCAAGGGGCTAGTAACCCTTTCTCCTGTATATATTACTAAATTTACAAGGAGAAACTTTCCTTTTTCCTTTTGGGCCACCCCACCTCAGTGGGATATGGCTGGTATGTTGAAAGATGATGATACAGACAGAGATATAGACATATAAACAGATATAGACAGATACAGGCAGAGAGAGAGAGAGCAAAACCCGGCCAGCCGAATAGCCAACCGGACAGCCAACCAGCCGGCCAGCCAGCTGGACAGCCAGCCAGCCATCCAGCCTGCTGAATATATATTACACATGTTCTAGAATCGCTTCTCTTTACTTTGGGTATACATTATAGGACATTCTAGCAGGATGACACTACCAATGGTATCAAAAGTGAAAAGATGTTGCACAAATGTTACACATGGGTTATTATCAAGGTTTTTGATATTTCCTCGACCACTTGTGGCCACATCCATCACTTTTCCTCTTAAAAGGGGAGTGTTAATACGACATGGCATCAGTGAATCAAAGGTGTTTGCTACGCTATTTGCTCTAGCTGGCGCTCAATTGAACTGGTGCTCCCACAATATACTAAGTGGTCCCAGATTTTTTTAATACTGCACACACTGAGTGTTAAGACCCATTTTATAATGACCAGGCATCTCAGGCCAATCATGCCAAATTTGGAGGCAAGAAAAATAAAACATAGATCTACGTTCGAAGCGCTACACAAGTGAACATAGATCTATGTTTGGACGGTTTAAGGGTTAAACCAAAATCACGGAGATTTTTTTTCTCGTTATGCACTGTATGCTGCTGGATTTTTTTTATACTGAGCACACAGACCCATTCTCTCACATGTAGGCCTACCAGCTTTCTCCACCAGATCTGAAGGAGCTAGAATTTTGGCGTAGTATTACGGGACCAACACTGGCTTGCAAGCCGTAATATTACTGGACTGACAATGAAAGGGTTAAAACACAGATCAATGTGAGCAACACTGGCATTAATAACAAAGATCTAAACAGGAGACAGAAAGAATTAAGCATGTTTCAATTGAATGGCTTCAGTTTTTTTTATCACTCATGATCCCATTAAATAGGTAGTAGGTTGGTAGACAGCAACCACCCAGGGAGGTACTACCGTCCTGCCAAGTGAATGTAAAACAAAAGCCTGTAATTGTTTTACATGATGGTAGGATTGCTGGTGTTTTTTTGTCTCATAAATATGCAAGATAACAGGTGTCTTACTACTTCTACTTACACTTAGGTCACACTACACATACATGTACAAGCATATATATACACATCCCTTTGGGTTTTCTTCTATTTTCTTTCTAGTTCTTGTTCTTGTTTATTTCCTCTTACCTCCATGGGGAAGTGGAACAGAATTCTTCCTCCGTAAGCCATGCGTGTTGTAAGAGGCGACTAAAATGCCAGGAGCAAGGGGCTAGTAACCCCTTCTCCTGTAAATATTACTGAATGTAACAGGAGAAACTTTTGTTTTTCCTTTTGGGCCACCCCACCTTGGTGGGACACAGCCAGTGTGTTGAAAGAAAGAAAGATCCCATTAACCCTTAAACTGTCCAAACGTAGATCTACATCCACGTGCGGGGGGATGTCTCCGAATGTAGATCTACGTTTTTTTTACATGGTTTCAAATGGGAAAAATCAAGGGTGGAGTGCTACACACATGAACATAGATCTACGTTTGGACAGTTTAAGGGCTAAACAATATGCTCACAATACATGGATATAAATACATGACATTCTCTTAAAAATTACATGTTGAATAAAATGACTGCAAGGAAACATTTTTAAGAATCTCAAAATTTCAACATCTATAAAAGGGAGTTTATTTTCAGAATAAGAAACATCACTACAGAGCTTGCTGATTAATAAATCTTTGTTTCATAAAGTTAATACCAATAAAGTACAGAGTAATTAATTTTGTTATAATAATTGTCATATTACATACCTGAACCAAAATTCCACCGAGGATAATAGAGACTGTTAGGTCAAATGTTCGCTGTGTGAGTTCCACACTAGCAGAGAGAGCAGCAACTTTCATAAGGGGTTGAGGAACATTTTCAGAAGCCTTTTTCAACTCTAGGCTTATTTCTGAAAATTTGGAAGTAACATTTATTTTATATATTAACTATTAGAAATTAATTTGAATTAAATTTGTGATGTAAAACTATGTAAAAGATATTTTCAGTGGGGATGACAACTCCATAACCCCTAAAAATACCATTTAACTCAGAGTATGTGCCGCTTCATTGCATTTACCTTCTGGCCAATTTCTCTAGTGTACTCTCCGGGGGCAGACTTATAAAGGATCCTTAGATTCTCTCATTTTTTCAAGAGTATTCTGAACTGCAGCAACACCCTATCTCAAATAGATCTAAAAAAAAAAAAACACTGTTCTATATACTTATTACTCTGAGTGAAGAATTTCTTGTTGTGTATTCTGCATGGTGTGGAACAGACGAAGTAAATATACAAGCTTATATTTAAATAATTTTTTGTACCATAAATGCCTTTAGATCAGCTTTGTCATATGAAACAAGCTATTTCCAGAACAATTTTCACATTTGCGATAACGCACACATAAATGTGGTCAGCATGTCTGAATACTGTAGTAATAGGCCCTCTTCTCTTTCTTATATACATAAATGACCTACCAAATGCATTGCAACTACTCAAACCCACATTTATATGGATGTGAAGCTTGGGTGGTAAATGCAGCAGCGAGGAGACAGTTGGAGGCAGTGGAGATGTCCTGTCTAAGGGCAATGTGTGGTGTAAATATTATGCAGAAAATTCGGAGTGTGGAAATTAGGAAAAGGTGTGGAATTAATAAAAGTATCAGTCAGAGGGCAGAAGAGGGGTTGTTGAGGTGGTTTGGTCATTTAGAGAAAATGGATCAAAGTAGAATGACATGGAAAGCATATAAATCTATAGGGGAAGGAAAGCGGGGTAGGGGGTCGTCCTCGAAAGGGTTGGAGAGAGGGGGTAAAGGTGGTTTTTTGAGCGAGGGGCTTGGACTTCCAGCAAGCGTGCGTGAGCGTGTCAGATAGGAGTGAACGGAGACGAATGATACTTGGGACCTGATGATCTGTTGGAGTGTGAGCAGGGTAATATTTAGTGAAGGGATTCAGGGAAACTGGTTATTTTCATATAGTCGGACTTGAGTCCAGGAAATGGGAAGTACAATGCCTGCACTTTAAAGGAGGGGTTTGGGATATTGGCAGTTTGGAGGGTTATGTTGTGTATCTTTATATGTGTATGCTTCTAAACTGTTGTATTCTGAGCACCTCTGCAAAAACAGTGATAATGTGTGAGTGTGGTAAAAGTGTTGAATGATGATGAAAGTATTTTCTTTTCGGGGATTTTCTTTCTTTTTTGGGTCGCCCTGCCTCGGTGGGAGACGGCCGACTTGTTGAAAAAAAAAAAGAAAAAAAAAATCTAATGACATTATAAACAATATTAATAACATAGAAACATGATATATACTCTAGAATGAATAAAATATGTCATAATGTATGAGGAGTAAATGATGCAAGTTTTGTTGTTGGGTTTAAGGGCTGCCACTGAGAGAAGCCGTGGTGGTGGTGGTGGTGGAGGCTTTGGCCACCACCACCATCACACTTAAACAATGTATGTAATTTATAAATAAGAAATATTTACATTTTAATTTATAAATAAGTTTATTCAGGTATACACAAATACAGTTACATACATAGATTATCATACATAGCAGCATATGTGTAAAGTACCCAGGACAACCCAAAAAATTAAAAAATGACATTTCCATTTGTGTCCTTTTATATTTACACTTATATGTACTTTTATACTTACACTTTTATATTTACACTTACTTAGGAGGAGATGTTAGTTTAATTACTTAGTTTGATGAAGAAGATGTTGGCAGAGGTTTAGGGTGGTGGAAGATAGCAGGGCGGTGTATGTTCAGCGGTCCTATATACATCCAACAACATTGGAGAGTTACTCTCATGCTGTTTTTCTGTCGCTTATTCGCTTAACTTACTTGCTACACTGTTAATTCTACACTTTATCGCCGGCTGGAGCTATAGTCTTTATCGATACCTGCTGCTTTAGTATCATACATATTGTAGGACCACTGAATCACTGCAAAAGGCACATTCTCCCCTCTCTCTCCCTCCTCTACTTTAGTACTTTGCTATGAGTTTTTCTTGAATTCTATCGTGTTTCTCACCTTCTTTACCAAAGAGCTGGCACTAGGAGCTTTCTTTGGGCCCATGATGGCTTATTTAGCAGTTGCAAGCACAAAAAACAATGAATTATTATGAAATGTGTTGTATGAACCCGTGGGGTGGTCACATGCTGGTAAACAATGGCACACCAAGTGAGAATAGTGTGGGAGACTGGCTTTGTGTGCGCGCTGATGGGCAGATGCGTACCAGAAGGTCGCCAAATCATGAGTCCAATCACGAATCACGAAGCTAAATTTTGCCGAAAAAACCTGCCGAAAGTCGGATTTCACGAAAGTTGCGGCCACCGAACGGCGGGGGTCCACTGTAATGTAAATCAATTAATCCATTCCACACACCCAAAAATATTAACAAAAAATGCATTTTATAGAATTGCTATAGTTTTACATACAGAATATGAGAAATAATTATAAAGCACTGATTTTAATGGATAAATGAACATTTAAACCAGTTTTACCTTTATTGAAGAGACTCGTTTGTCCAAACTTGCAGCCTCGCCATACCTTAACATTGTATGCCAGATCGCTTCTTGAAGCTATCGAACCAGCCTCTGCTGGCCTTAAATCAACTAACAGCAGCACTCATTCCAGGTATATTCTTTACGATATCTGCATGCAACTGCCTTGCCTTTTTGTAAATTATAGCCTCCACAACACTATCTCCCACTGTTTTTCATTTATCCACACCAACTACTACTTCTCAACATCTTTGACTGTTTATCGTCTTTGTTTCATTAGCACACTTACCCCTTTCACAACATCAGATTCTTTGATTTCTTTTTTCTTCACCAGGATGTAACTGATCGTTGATGAAGACTTCCCATATATCCTGGTGAGATCAACCACATGTACGCCACTTTCATGCTTTTCTACAAGTTCTTTCTTAAATTCTATCATGTTTCTCACCTTCTTTATCAAAGGGCTGGCAATCAAAACTTTCTTTAGCCCCACGGTGGCTTATTTAGCAGTCACACTCAATAAACAAGCCCCAAAAATAATTGCTTATTATGATATGTGTCCTATGAATGCACAGGGTAATGTTCACTCGACAAGAAACAAAGCCAGACTGACTCGGAAAGCGTGCGTGGAATGCTTTGTGTGGGCACAGGCATGCGGACACATTCGGTACAGCAGATGAAAACCAATGTGACAAACAATAATTGGGACAATATTTTGATGAAAAATGTCATCGAAAACTAAATTCGACGAAAACCAAGGTTCCACTGTATTCTTAACTGAAAACTATTCTGAAGTATTCACTTAAAAGTGAAGTTCAAATTCAATTTTTTTTTATTTTCACATGAAACAATATTTGCATACTGGAAGTGGGCGAGAGGAATTTTTCCTTAACCCTTTCAGGGTCCAAGGCCCAAATCTGGAGTCACGCACCAGTGTCCAAGAATTTTCAAAAAAAAAATTTGTTATTTTTTCTTATGAAATCGTAGAGAATCTTTTTGTGAAGGTAATAAAACAAAAAGTACGAAATTTGGTGGAAAATTGACGAAATTATGCTCTCGCGAATTTTGATGTGTCAGCGATATTTACGAATCGGCGATTTTGCCGACTTTGACTCCCATTTTAGGCCAATTACATTATTCCAATCAACCAAATTCTTAGCTATTTCACTAGTATTACTTCTATTCTATCGATTGAGCACAAAAAAATCGCCAAGTCAACTGTTTCAACTACAAAATAAAGTGATCAGAAATTGTTAATTTGGCCAATTTAACACAAAGTTCAAAATATTCCAATTTCAAAATAGGGTCCAGAATGAACAATGTAGCATTCCTGGCACTAAAATAACATTTCCTCTGTTCATTAGTTATGTTTTGAGGCTTTACAAATAAATTCCATTTGATTTTTTATTCACATAATGAATTTTTAAATTTACACCAAAAAATAGAAGATTTACTGTTATGCAATACTGTAATAATTGTATAAATATCATCACCAAAATTTGTGAATGTATATTAGACCCACCAGCTGACGGGGTATTAGACGTTGAGGTCCCTTTGTTTACTCTTGAATATCGGCAAAAATTTAACATTTCTGCTACTTTGAGCTCAGTTTTTAAGCCATTTCCAGTGCTAAAAACCAATCAAAGTCATCTCTATTTCTGTAATATGTCTTCCTTCTATCAAATGAGACCAAGATATCGCAAATACAACTATAAAAAACATACGAAAAAACACTGCAAAGTTGCTGTTTTAATCGAAAAATCATGATTTAATTTTTTTTCTCTCATTATACACAGTGTGCTGCAGGATCTGTTTTATGTGGTGCACACATACCACATAGATGTATTCTCTCATATCTAGGCCCAAATGTACCACTCACAGTTTATCAGAGTGAGCTGAGCTCATGGCGTAGATCTACGGTTTGGACCCTGAACGTAAAGCCGTAGATCTACGGGACGGACCCTGAAAGGGTTAAGCTATGCACATCGTAAAAGGCGACTAAAATGCAGAATGCAAGGGGCTAGTAACTCCCTTCTAACCCTTAAACTGCCCAAACATAGATTACGTTTTTTCAACATTTGAAAGTACAGTGAACCCCCCTTAACGATCACCTCCCAATGCGACCAATTATGTAAGTGCGTTTGTACGTGTATGTTTGGGGGTCTGAAATGGACTAATCTACTTCACAATATTCCTTATGGGAACAAATTCGGTCAGTACTGGCACCTGAACATACTTCTGGAAAGAAAAAATATCGTTAACCGGGGGTCCACTGTATGTAAAAAAAAGTGTATTTTTTTTTTTTTACATTTGAAAACATGTAGAAAAAACTGACCTACTTTTTTTTGTTATATTTGAAAATATATATAAAAAAAACTAGGTCTACTTTTGGAGCGCTATGCATGTGA